AAAGTTTGGGTAAGCCTGACAAAAAGCAAAGCAAAACAAAACCAACCAACCAAAAAAAAAACCAACCAAAAAAACGGAAAGAAAGAAAGAAAAAAGAGAAAAAACAACAACAACAAAACCAAACCAAAAACCACGTGCAAACCAGGATTTTAAATTCGCATTTAAAAATAAAAAAGTCTCGTCAGTGTTGCTTTAACAGAGAAACTCTCCAGGGATTTAGGCAGAGTCCTACCTCTCAAAAAGCAATCAAACCAGTAAGAAGCATCAGGTTTTTGAACTAACAAATTGCACATTTGTGGAAGAAATTTGCTTTCCCTGCCTTCTTTCCAACTCACCTAAGAGAGACTCATTTTCTATCCATTGAACTAGCAAAACCCAGGAAATTGGTTGGTTCTAGTTATACTTGGAGTTTTCATGTTTCCTGAGACACCCCCCTCTTCCCCCCCCCCAAATGTAAACCTGTTTTAGCATTCTTGTACATTAATGTCAGGATTCTCCATTTCTAGCTCCCACAACCTCTGCCACAGAGAAGTCAATCAGATTTGGTATATGCCCTGGAACGGGAAATGGGAGGTCTGGGTTTAAAGCAAACAAGCAAACAAAAAATAATTAATGTCAGTGCTCTGCAAGGTGTTGGATCCAAACTTGGTGGATCTGCTAAAGTCTTCAATCCAAAATACTTGGTAATTTGACTCAAAAAAAAAAAAAAAAAGAAAAAAGAGAAAGTTTAACCTGCTGAACTTAGAGAAAAAGCAGAAAGTGGCAGACCTTTGAGGAAGGGAGACAAAGTGTGCAGGTGCAAAAATGCCACATGCCGTAGTTCATCACCTTAAAAGAAATCAGTTTTGCTTGGTTTGGTTTTGTTCTTAAGTGCCAGGGAAACGTGCTTCCCAAAGGTTGGCTTTAGAGTTTACAGGCACCAAGGTGGAAGCATGAAGTGAAGACATGCCAAAAAGTCAGGTTTTTGTAAACCCTTCTTGAAAAAGTGCATGTGTTTTTAGTAAAAATGCATATCTACCAAATCTCCACTGACCACGGGCTATTTGCATACGGAAAGTCACATCAATTTGCAGCATCAATGCTGAAATTTTTGCCTTCTCCTTCCACCCACCTCCCCAATTTTTTTCCTTGGGAGACATATAGCGCCACTGCATTAGAACGTACAAGAAATGAAAACAGTGAGTACAACTGATATAGATCCATTGACTTTTTATTACAAATGTACTTGATCACTTGGCTTCAAAAAAGTTTAAATCAACCCCTATTTTCTGTACGCCAGTACAAAGTAAAATCTATTTTACAAATTAAATACCTAAAAATTTGACAAAAATATTAAAGTTTGATGGAAAAAACAGTTATAAAAATCTTAAATCCCCTTTTAAGAAGATAAGAGATAACATCCCCTCCCAACCCCACAGTCCTGTTATACAATATTAATAGTCATTTTTTTTTAGAATAGGTAGGTATGTTATATCTTGCTGTTAGCATACAGTCACTCTAATAGCTTTATCTGTATATACTCCAGTTAGTGCATGAATGCCATCTGATTGAATATGATCAACTATCTTTAACTGATCCCTAATTTACATTTCATAGCTTGCATAGTTTGAAGGGACAAAGGTTACACTACAGCTAATCATAAAAAAAGGTGGTTACAGTGCTATTTTTAAAGGCAACAAAGTAATTGCTCCCCCCGCCAAAAAAAAAGTTATCGGTGGGTTCTGGGCAGGGGTTAAATCGCTGGCAGCTCTCTGCCCCGCGGGAACGGTCCCTCTGCCCGGGCGGCCCCTCTGTGCCCACCGTCACCGTCACCTGGCTGCGGCCGCCGCACCCGCCGCGGTTCAACCCCTGCCAGGGATGTGCAGGACAGTGACACTGTCAAGTATTTTTTTTTCCTTTTTTTTTTTCCAATTGAATTTTCCACAAGGTCTCCCCACACGGCACACGGGTATGCCCGGCTGGAAGCCGGTGTCCCGCGGGCCCTGGCCGGCTGCAGCCCCAAGGCCCCTGGCACCACCAGCCCAGGGCTCGCTCCAGGGGGCTGTGGCCAGTCCCCCCGGGAGGGAGGGATGCTGGCCGCAGGGACGCCTGTCGCGGCCGCATCGCCAGCCCGACCACAAAGAAGAGGCGGGAATCAACAGCAGCTTGTTCTGCTGCTTTTTTTCTTTCTTTCTTACTTAACTTCTCAGACACAGAGCAATTTTAATTTTTCTTTTTAAAAACAAAATAATAATAATAATGACTTTGAATTTGGATTTGAATTTCCGTTATCATCAAACCACTTCAACGGCAGTTGTATTTCAATAGTAAATTACTTGACAGTGTCCCTTTAACTTAAAAATAAAAATGTCAGTATTGCAATGAGTTTCAAGTTTTCTTGCACGTAGTCATTATAAAGTAGTTTTTATCATGCTCTTGGACCTATTCTACAAGACATTTAAAAGCATATCATCAAGGAAAATATAAGGCATACTTCTTAGGAATTAGATATCTTGGCACATTTGAGCATACTGTCTTTTTTTAAAACAACACATATGGTCAAATATACCTGTCTTCTTCTAACATTAAATAGGGTTTTCTGTACTTTGTTTCGAATACTGAGATACTAGAGCATTGGTAAAGTACCGAGCACCTCCAGGGAAAAAAAAAATATTAAAAAAAAGCAAAACAGAAATTAAAACCAGAAGCGAAATCCTACAAACATTTACAGTCATTTTAGTCTTTCATTAGCATCATTCATAAAGTCCTACAACATACATAACGTGCATTAAAAGAAGAAAAGAAAAAAAACAACCCAACAAAAAACAACAAAACACGCAGAAGAAAACCCAAAACGAGACAAAAACTGACCACGAGTTCTCGGACACTGTTCACCAGACTGCCAGCGGGGCTGTTACGGGCTGTACTGGTCTGACTGGAACCACGCGCTCCCCCAGCCAGCTGGACCCTGGGCAGGAGGCAGGGGGGTGGGGGCAAGGAAGACCCTGTTGGGGGCAGGGGGGGCACTGCCGGGCTCTCCTCGCCTCCCAACACCCACTGTGGGAAGGAGCAGGAGCGCAGGAGCGGGTCTCCGGCTCTGGGGAGGGCAGTGGACAGCAGGACCGAGACAATCAATCAAGTAGCAAAACCAAAGCAATTAATTTCCTAACTAGGTCTAGCAGCATGGAGAATGCAGTCCCGCACACATCACAGCTGAAGTACAATAATCCATGGAACTGCTCATCCAGACCCTCCGACTCAAAAGCAGGTTATCAGACAAATGTTTACATGCAATTGAGAACCATTTCAAATGTCACATTACGCACTCCAAAAGCTTATTTTACTACTGGGAAATAGGAAAGTGCACATTAAAGCAATTTTAAACATTTCCAGTGATTGTTTAAAAGAAACAGAAACACCTTGCTACCGGCATCTCATATTTTAACTTTCTGTGAACACTAACAGCAAACTTTGTTAAAGGGAAATAATGCATGGTACAATGGAAACAGCTTGTTTTGACACATACAGTACATCTCAAAATTAAAAAGAGAAGAGAAGAGAAGAGAAGAGAAGAGAAGAGAAGAGAAGAGAAGAGAAGAGAAGAGAAGAGAAGAGAAGAGAAGAGAAGAGAAGAGAAGAGAAGAGAAGAGAAGAGAAGAGAAGAGAAGAGAAGAGAAGAGAAGAGAAGAGAAGAGAAGAGAAGAGAAGAGAAAAAAGAAAAGAAATAAAGAGAAAAGAGGAATTATAACTTCAAATGGAAATAAAAAGACAGCAGGAAATAAAATTCTTTGTGACAATCTTTTTTTTTTCTCCCCACCCTTCCAAAACTCCATCCTTGACCATCAGTAAAGAGGCACAGGCAGCTCCTGCTTGTACAGGTGGTGCCTTTGCGCCCAGCATCCAGGTCTACCAGACAGCTAACTTTGCCAGCAGCGTTAAGAAAAAGGATGGCATCCCAAAAAAACTTCCAAGCAGATCAAGATCCTAGTTTCTCTGAAACGCTGTCTAATGAATTCCGGCCAAGCAAAGAAAGGAAAAGAAAAGAAAAGGGAAAAAAAAAAAGAAAAGTTTTGTTTTCACTGTTTAAGGCATCTTTTTTTTATAACGTTTTCTCTTCACTCATAATGATGATAGTCATGTAGCAGTTTAATGATAAAAATATATTAATATTTTACTATACAGCAGCAAGAAGTTAGTCAATTAAAAGCACACCAAATTTTTAAAAGAAAAAACAAAAACAAAACAACAAAAACAACCTGTAAAAGTCTATTATTATTCTTATTATTATTACAGACAATTTCAATTTGGACAACACACCTGAACAGATTAGTGTTCTGACAAATCTGCGTCTCCCTACCCTAGGCGTCGAGCAGAGCCCGCGAGCGAGGGCGCACGCTGGCGAGGAGGCTGGGACGGGGAGGGACGGGCACGGCGAGGCTCGCCAGGGATGTAGCCAGTAATAACTAGCACCACAGCTACATGGCAATCCCTTACAGACACACACCGGCCGGGCTGTCGCTTTAGCACGACCCGCCGAACCCCATGGCTCAGTGGGATTACTGGTTCCTAACGGCCCGGAGGCGCGAGTGGCACCGGGGGTCACAGCGGGTCGGGACCTCTGCGCCGTGAGGAGACAGCGCTAGTGCCAGTGGCCACACGGAAAGACTCGCTACCTGCTGTCCCAAAACAGGGTGACTGGAAACCGCTGCACGTCAGGTTAAGTACTTTAAGTACACAGAATAAAAAAAAATAAAATATATTATGAACAATACAAGTACATCTCATATACACAATAATGACAATACGTCTACTCAGCTGTAAACCAAACAGGTGCAGAAAAAAACATTATGGGAGGAAATTCTTTACTTTTCTTTTTTTTCTCTCTCTCTCTTTTTTTTCCTTTTCCTCTTTTTTTTGGCTTTTTTTTTTTTTTTACTATTTGAATAACTTTGGTTCAAACGTAAAAATCACAAGTTAGCAAATTTCATTTAAATGCCTTTTTTAATAATTTTTCTTCATGTTCACACGGCGCGCTTGTCCCGCTGCTTCTCCTGGATCTTCTTCATCTCGTCCGAGTACTTGCAGAAGGTGTGGCCGAACTTGGCCCAGACCTTGTAGGGGACGGTGATGGAGTTGCGGTAGGTGGGCTTCACCTCGCTCACCCGCATGAAGACGCCGTACTTGTTGGAGCCCACGTCGAAGAAGAAGCGCTTGTTGTCCACAGTCAAGGAGGTGCCCTCGGGCAGCTCGGCCGGCTCCTCCTCCACCCCGTAGTCGTCGATGAGCTTGGCCAGGGCGTCGCGGAACTCGATCAGGCCCTGGGCCGGCAGGGCGATGGTCACCGGCGGGGCTGTCGCTTTAGCACGACCCGCCGAACCCCATGGCTCAGTGGGATTACTGGTTCCTAATGGCCCGGAGGCGCGAGTGGCACCGGGGGTCACAGCGGGTCGGGACCTCTGCGCCGTGAGGAGACAGCGCTAGTGCCAGTGGCCACACGGAAAGACTCGCTACCTGCTGTCCCAAAACAGGGTGACTGGAAACCGCTGCACGTCAGGTTAAGTACTTTAAGTACACAGAATAAAAAAAAATAAAATATATTATGAACAATACAAGTACATCTCATATACACAATAATGACAATACGTCTACTCAGCTGTAAACCAAACAGGTGCAGAAAAAAACATTATGGGAGGAAATTCTTTACTTTTCTTTTTTTTCTCTCTCTCTCTTTTTTTTCCTTTTCCCCTCGGGCAGCTCCCCGTAGAGCCCCCCGCCACCCGGCCCGCCGCCCCCGGGGCCTCCCAGCTCATCCTCCTCGCCCCCGTAGTCGTCGATGAGCTTGGCCAGGGCGTCGCGGAACTCGATCAGGCCCTGGGCCGGCAGGGCGATGGTCTGCCCGCTCTGCAGCCCGGGGGGGCCCCCGGCGAAGCCCCCCGGCCCCCCGGGCCCGCGGTTGACGGTCTGGCGGATGCGGAGGAAGCGCCATCCCTTACAGACACACACCGGCGGGGCTGTCGCTTTAGCACGACCCGCCGAACCCCATGGCTCAGTGGGATTACTGGTTCCTAATGGCCCGGAGGCGCGAGTGGCACCGGGGGTCACAGCGGGTCGGGACCTCTGCGCCGTGAGGAGACAGCGCTAGTGCCAGTGGCCACACGGAAAGACTCGCTACCTGCTGTCCCAAAACAGGGTGACTGGAAACCGCTGCACGTCAGGTTAAGTACTTTAAGTACACAGAATAAAAAAAAATAAAATATATTATGAACAATACAAGTACATCTCATATACACAATAATGACAATACGTCTACTCAGCTGTAAACCAAACAGGTGCAGAAAAAAACATTATGGGAGGAAATTCTTTACTTTTCTTTTTTTTCTCTCTCTCTCTTTTTTTTCCTTTTCCTCTTTTTTTTGGCTTTTTTTTTTTTTTTACTATTTGAATAACTTTGGTTCAAACGTAAAAATCACAAGTTAGCAAATTTCATTTAAATGCCTTTTTTAATAATTTTTCTTCATGTTCACAGAAGTTTCACTGACCATTTTTATATGTTTAAGGTCCAGATGCAATGCATATTGTATAAAAGAGAGCACTTATTGTTTACCTTGCATGAATTAAACCTACGTACCTTTTAACTCTACAAACTTCTGCATAACATTTAGACAAAGCTCAGACACACAGCATGCCTAGCCCTCATATATATATACACATCTCTAATCACAGGTATATAGGGTGTCAAATATACTATAGTAACCTCCATGTAAGGTTCGAAATTTGGTAACAAAATGAGAAGAAAAAACTAAAAATATTATTTTACGTGTTCTAAAATATCTCTTTTTTTTTGTGCTAAAGTCAAATGTTAGCTCAACATGAAAAGGACTTTTTTTTTTTATATAATTCAGCAATATTATAATCTTGACCATTTTTGCAAACACTTTTAATAATAATAGCTTAAACGTGTACAAAAGTTCTCGGTTAATTAGGGAAATAAACACTCAGTTCTTTATATTTTTAATCAAGTAGGAAACACAGTTCATATATAATGTTATTACTTTTTTTTGACTTTTTTTTGTGTGTGTGTTTTGTTTTTTTTTTTTTTGTTTTGTTTTGTTTTAGCAGCTGCTTACTGTTTGATACGGTGGGTAAAGTGGAGGAACATCCAGCGATGGGTGGCGGGTCGCCGCACCAGGAACTCGCTCTTCAGCGCCCGCCGGGGCTCGTCGGCCGCCTGCGCCAGCTCGGGGGGCTGGCTGGGCCCCAGCTGGGCGTAGTGCTCGATGAAGTCGCCCAGGTAGTCGCGGAACTCGACGGCCACCGACATGGAGAGGGTCAGCCGGCTCTTGTTGCCGCCCGCCCCCACCTCGGCGATCTTGAGGAAGCGGCCCTTGGCGTTCTGCTTGACGTCCAGGTAGAAGCGCTTGTTCTGGATGTCCACCCGCTTGGAGGCCAGCTCCTGCGTCTCATGCTGCAGGCCGCCGCCCGGGCCCCCGCCGCCGCCGCCGCCCGCTGCCGCTGCCGGCCGGGCCGCTCCTCGCCTTAAGGAAGCGGCGCCGGGCCCTCCCCCGCTCCCCTCCCAGCCACTGGCGAGACGAAGCGGCTGCCCCCCCGCCGGGCCCC